CTCCTATCTATCTATTGTTGATGTATCTCCTATCTATCTATTGTTGATGTCTCTCCTATCTATCTATTGTTGATGTCTCTCCTATCTATCTATTGCTAGTTGCTATCTACTGCTTGGCTAAAAACTGAGTCACGAAGGTGAATTCGATTTCACACCTGGAGGATAACCAAGAGCCATAGTCTCAGGTTCCCCCAGTCTCTTCCTGAATAATAAACTTAGTCTTTTTTATAATTTTGAATTTTCTTCCATATTTTCTCCCACTCTATTTAGAGCCTTCCAATGTGATTTTTTTTCAGAACAGTTGGTAGTGGTATACTTAATATTCTTCAACAACCTCATAAGTCAAAGTTTCAATTCTTCTTCAATCTTCCTTATTCATCACCCAGGTTTTATATTCATATAAGGTAACTGAAAATACCATGGCATGAGTGTAGCTTATCTTAGTCCTCAAAGTAAAATATTTCCTTTTTAACAACTTAAAGAGCTGTTTTAAAGGAAATTTGCCCAGTGCAATACATAAGTTGATTTCTGGACTGTTGCTTCCATGGGTATTGATTGCAAATACAAGTAAAATGAAATCCTTGATAACTTTAGTGCTTTCTCCATTTATCATAGTGTTGTTTAGTGAGCCATTTGTGATCACTTTATTTTCTTTATGTTAAGGCATAACCTGTACTGAAGGCTGCGTTCTTTTACTTACTTTATCATCAGTAAGTGTTTCAGGTTCTCTTCACTTTCATCAGGCAAGATGTGTCATCTGTAAACTGAAGGTTGTTAATGAATCTTCCTCCATTACTGATGGCACATTCTTCTTCATATCATCCAGCTTCTCAAACTATTTGCTTAACATACAGATTGAATAAATATGGTTAAAGGATACAATCCTGACACACACCTTTCCTAATTTAAAACTATTTGGAATCCCCTTGTTCTACTCAAACAACTGCCTCTTGACCTATGTACTGATTCCATATGAGCACAATGAAGAGTTCTAGAATTCCCATTATTTGCAATGCTATCCATAATTTCTTATAATCCATACAGTTTAATGCCTTTGTATTGCCAGTAAAAAAGAAATATTGGTATTCATCCTAGTATTCTCTGATTTCAGCCAAAATTCATCGACGTAAGCAATGGTGTTCAACATCCTATGTCCTCTTCTGAATCCATTGAATGTCTGGCAATTCCTTGTTAAGTCTCCTACCACCATTTTAAAATTATCTTCAGCAAAAATTTACTTTCATGTGATATTAATATTATTTGATAATTTCCACATTCAATTGGATCACTTTTTTTTTTTTTTTTTCTCTTGGAATGGGTACAAACATGGATCTCTTCCAGAGGTTGTCCAAATAGCCATCTTCTAATATGACATTCTTGGCATAGATGTATGAGCTTGCCCAGCATTCCATCTGTTTGTTGAAGCATCTCAACTGGGATTTGGTCAATTTCTTGAGTCATCTTTTTTGGAAGATATTTTTAGTCCCAAAGAGTGATGGTGAATGGAGTCAATCCCAGACGCTGGCCCATATGAAGTATTTACAACCTTTGTAGTGATGCTGGTTCGGGACTGAAATGGATGTGCTGTACATGGAGCATCAACAGAGAATGAGAATGGATCAGAGGAATTCACAAGGGGAGAACACACAGGGCAGTCCTTCTGACTGGACCCGTCTATTCCTGCCAGGTGATTATTTGCATGAGACCCAGTTCAGGAACTGCATCCTTGGCTGACCTGAGTGGTAATCATATCGTGTTCTAGGTTCTTTGAGCTGGGGCATAGCACAAGACTCTTAAAGAGATGAAAAGTAGACTCACTGTCACAACTTTAAATGAAAGAGGCAGCAGGCTGAGATGCCAGCAGGTTGCACGTGGACAAGATACTGTGGTTAGATAGGATATCAGGTACCCTAGAGATTGTGCTAGCAGTTTGAAAGGGCTGCAGGTTCCAAAGCATAGGGCTGTTGTTAGAAGTCTGAGTATGTGCAGAGTGTCCAGGAGTGTCAGAACCAGATAAATGGAGTGTGGAACTGAGCTTTATCAATACTCAAAAAGGGGAACCATCCTCTAATCAGGATTCAAACTGAGTGATGACAGCAGTTTAAGAAAAAGCTTTCACAAGATTCCCAGTCATTGGAGGGTTATGGGATCCTGTACTCACACCATTTACTCTGCAGAATAGTCACTAGGACAGGGATGACTACCTCCTTGCACTCTTGAGAAACAATGTGTAGGTCTCCTGGGGCAGGGTCAGAACTGAGACTCAATCATCATCCATGAATTATGAACATCTGACAGGGTCCACTTCAGAAGGAACTTAGATCTCCTGGAAGACAGGAGTCGTGTCGTCATGCACCTAGAGTTCATAGTCCCTTGGGACCCAGTCACGGGGGTGGAGATGGGTGGGATGGGGTGGGGAGGTGCTGTGTTTCTGGGAGAAGAGAATAGGAAACCCAGGAGAGGTTGCAGTTGCTGGGTGGAACTGAGTTGGGAGAGGAGATTCTGGTAGAGATAGAGTGCAGGTGTGGGTAGTGAGAGGGAGGTGCCCTGGACTGTGAGGCTTTCTGTTGGTGCTTGGGGTTGTAGGAAGAGGGAGGGAGGCAACTAGGAAAGAACTGGAATGAGAAAGCCCTGGGGAAGTTTTAGGAGTCATATGTGCACTAGAAACCCACCCTACAGGGCAGTTTCCACCAGGAGCTCCACAGACTCATGTGTCCTGGGACCGACACATGTCCAAGCAAGCACGCTACCCCTGAAAGCTGCAAACCCGATAAATGCCCACTCCAGCATCATCTGGAGCCTGGTGTCCACAAGCAGGGGACAGGCAAGGAGAGTAGCTGTTGTTCTCAGGTCACCATCGACAGAAGGGGAGGAGCTTGCTCAGGGCGCGCTGGACCTCCGCATTCCGCAGTGTATAAATGAGGGGATTCAGGGTGGGACTCAATGCTGTATACAGCACCCCTGCCACTTTGCTCCTTTCAGGGCTGTAGCTGGAGGCCGGGCTGATGTAGGCACAGAACACTGCTGTGTAGGACACAGAAACTGCGATGAGGTGGGAGGAACAGGTGGAAAAGGCGCGGCGCTTGCCCTCAGCGGAGCGAATGCGCAGGATGCTAGCCACAATGCAACCATAGGAGACGAGAGTGAGCAGGAAGTTGGTGAAACCATAGAAGCCGTCAGCCACGACTGTCATGATGCTGTTGATCCGCGTGGGGCTGCAAGAGAGGAGCAGCAGTGGTGGGATCTCGCAGAAGAAATGCGAGATGACACGGGGGCCACAGAAATTCAACCGAGCCATTAGACCAGTGTGAACAGAAGCGTTTATGGCACAGATGCCCCAAACGCCCACAGCCAGTGCCACGCACAACTGCGGGCTCATGATGGTACTATAGTGAAGTGGACGACAGATGGCCACATATCGATCGAAGGCCATGACCAAGAGCAGCAGCAACTCAGAGGACAAGGCCCAGAGGAGGAAGAAGAGCTGGGCCATGCAGCCCGCATAGGAGATGATGTTTCTCTGCGTGGTGAGACCAGCCAGCACCTTAGGCAGGATTGTAGAGGTAAGGATGATGTCCATGGTGGCCAAGTTGGACAGGAAGAAGTACATGGGGCTGTGAAGGCCACCACTGCAACCCACGACGGTGATGATGAGAGCGTTGCCAGTGAGAGCCACGGTGTAGAGCACCAGGAAGCAACCGAACAGCGGCAGCCGCAGTGTAGGGTGTTCCGAGAACCCCTGCAGGACGAACTCCGTCATCAGCGTCTGGTTGAACTCCATGGTCCTGCCAGGATCCATGGCGCATGAGGGCTGGCTGTCCCTTTGGAAAACCTGTAGGTGCCTAACAAGGGGGTGACATGACACTTCAGATCATGCGTTCACTGGTGACCACAAATAGAAAGAGGTGGGTTTGCTTTCCCAACTATAGTCCACTTACCTCTTTAACTTACAACCTCACCAAGCTCTGCAAAGCACATCTCATGCCAGCCTTTACTTTTCCTTTCATTTCCACAGTGAAAAATTTTATAATCTATGTTTGTGTTCAAGCATGTGCTTACCCCACCCAACACCTCTGTACCTGCTGTTGCCCACCACTCTCATCCATGGCTAAAGCCATTATTTCTCAATTTTATATTTTCTCAGATTCATCCCTCCAGAAGACCTCATTCCCTAAACCCAGACCTAGGAACTCCAAGTCTTTCTGTGATTTTATGCTTTAGTGAACTACAACCCCTTCAAACTCATATGCCCAAACCTGGACTTAGTGCCTTCCGTGCTCCTGGTGTTTATTCTTCAGTTCATGCTGATGGACCCACCCAGTAATCCCAGCCATCTAGAGTCCCTTGGACAGGGGCTCTGTGGAACAGGGCTCGGCCTTTTTTGGTCATCGCCACTTTGGGAACTCTTGGCCACAGAAGGCACTGAAAAGATACCTGTTAACCTTTTGCTTCCCTTTCATCCAACTGTTCACCAAGGCCTTACATACATTGTTTGCACATGTCCCCACCGCTCATATCCTCCGCTGTTTATTTACTTTAGGTTTATTGTCAATGTCCAGTGTCTGACTTCAACTCCTCCTTTATGTTCTCTACTGAGACTGGGGTGGGATCCCCAGAAAGAAAGTCTGATCCTGGTATTTCCTCCTTAACACTGATCTGTGGCTTTCTAGAGAGAGTGAACAATATTGCTAGAGATTTCTGTATGTTTGTCTTTCTGTTCAAGGCTACTCCTATTCCAATATGATGTGAAATTGCTAAAATTCAAGCAAAAATTTTAAATTATGCAATAGTTTCAGGAGGTCAAAATGGGCTGGAAAAAAAGGTAGAGGGTTTATAATGTAGGGATCTACAGAGTGGAGCATCTCCTAATCTGCAGAAAAAGATTGTGTGTAAGTGTGAATATATAGTATTGTGAAAGAGAACATGTTTGTGTGTGCATATGTGTGCATGTGTGCATGACTACAAGGAAACTAATGAGTAATGACACCTGGGAAATGCAAAGAACTGCCTAGAGATGTCAGCTTCAGCCCTTCACAGGGAAGAAAGAGTATGGAGTTTCATTACAGTCACAGTTAAACACCTGACAGAACAAAATCAACACTCTTGATAGATAATCAGAATCCAGACTCTTCAATGTATCATGTACAGCATCTAGAATATAACAAGCAACTGGCTATGTAAAGAAGCAGAGGCATACATCCTGTGCATAAGTAAAAAGTATTCAATATAAACTAGTGTTGTGATTTTGGAAATAGCAAATTAAGAAGTTTAAAACAGTTTTTGTAAATATGTCCAAGATCTAAAGGAAAATATGCTTATAACATATGGACAGGCAAGTTAACTAGGAAAAATAAGAAACTGCATTTTAAAAAACTCAAAAAAAACCTAATGTAATTATGTATAATATCCCAAATTAACAATTGATCACAAGTGCATACAAGCAGACTGGGCATGATGTCAGAGAAGATTATAGTTAGTTAAATAGGAATTACCCAATCTGATGATGAGAAAGAGCAAAATTACAAAATGCATGGTCACAATTTTTGTGACATTTGAGACAATAAAAGCTGCCTAGTACACTTCAACTGAATTGGAAAATTATTGAATAATATCATTAATATCACATACAAATACAATTGTGCCAAAAATAATTCAAAAATGGTAATAATAGCATATCAATAAAGAACTGCCAGAAATTCAAGTCAGATTCAGAAGAAGGCATGGAATAAGGGATCTCATGGCTGAGGTGAGATGGATCTTGGCTGAAAGCAGAGAATAACAGTAGACATTTGTCTGCGTTGGTCCTAACAAAGTATAATTAGCATTAGGAAAAAATGAGAATAAAAGAACATTAAAGTGTGCTCATGCCGAACTTTTACATAGACCAAGAGGCAGTTGTTAGAAAAGATCAAGGAGATTTTACATGGATTTAAATCAAGAAAGGCATATGTCAAGGTCATGTCCTTTTACTAGACGCATACTTACTCAATCTGTAGGCTGAGCAAATAATCTGATAAACTGGAACATGGGATCAGGATTGGAAGAGGACTCATTAACAGCTTGCAAAATGCAATATGCAAATTGCTAAATGTGAAGAAAACATGATCACTTACTAATGAAGATCAAAAACTATAGCTTCTGTATGGATTACTCTTCAGTGAAAAGAAACCATAAATCCTCACAACAGAACTAATAAACAACATTATGGCAAATAAGAAAAGATTGAAGTTGTCAATGATTTCATTTTACTTGACTCCACAAACAATTCCCAAGGAAAAAGTAGTAAATAAAATTAATTGACACACTGGACAAATCTACTGCAAAGATGTCACTTTGAGGATTAAGGTGGGACTGACCCAAGCCAAAGTATTTTTAGTTATCATATAAGCATGCAGAAACTGGATAATGAGTAAGAAAAAGTAGAGAAGAATTGAAGCATTTGGGTTACAGAATGGGCACAAATACAGACATCTTCCAATCATTTGGCCAGGCAGTTGTCTTCCAAATTTCTTGGCATAAATGACTGAGTGCCTGCAGTGCCACCTCACTTTCTTGAAAGATTTCAATTTATATTCCGTTAATTCCTGGTGCCTTGTACTTTGCCAATTCTTTCAATGCACCTTGGACTTCCTCCTTCAGTATCATTGGCTCTTGATCATATTCTACCTCTTGAAATGGTTGAACATTGACCATTTCCTTTTGATACAGGGACTGTGTATTCCTTCTATCTTCTCTTGATGCTTTCTGCATCATTCAATAATTTGCCCAGATAATCTTTCAATAATGAATGTTGAGGCTTGAATTTTTTCTTCAGTTCCCCCAGCCTGAGAAATGCTGGGCATGTTCTTTCTTTTTGGTTTTCTGATTCCAGATCTTTGCACATTTTTTTTGTAATATTTGGCTTTATCTTCTAGAGCTGATCTTTGAAATTTTCTGTTCAGCTCATGTACCTCCTCATTTCTTCCATTTGCTTTAGCATCTCTACACTGGAGAGCAAATTTCA